TTTATAGGATTAAAAATACTAGAATCAGATAATATTTAGAGATCAGTTTGTCTAAGCCCTGTTTATTTAAGTGAGCAAATCTGGGCTCAGATAGTAGTAGAAACTCCACCTGAGAGAAATTAAGCAGGGGCCAAGTTTCCTAATAGTATAGTAAGTATATTTTCAGGCTAGTTTTAAGCAAAGTTGGAAGGTTCAACATTTGATGGGAATTTTAAGCTTAAAGAAAAGCTGCTGCAATTTGTTTCTCGTGATTTTACTATAATATTAGCTTTCTTTTTTACTTTTGATTGCAGTTGGTATTTGTTAATGTCATTTATATAGTAGCTTTTCTAAAAAGGAAAAATGCAGAAACAACTCAAAATATTATACAAACTGATATAACTCTATGAAAGCTACCTTAAAGAATTAGGGAAGGAACTCCCATTTGACCCAGTAATCCCACTTCTAGGAATATATCTCAAGAAACTAGAAACACCAATCAGAAAGGATATATGCACCCCTATGTTCATAGCAGCACAATTCACCATACCTAAGATTTGGAAACAGCCTAAGTGCCCATCAGCAGATGAGTAGATTAAAAAACTGTGGTACATGTACACAATGGAATATTACCCTGCAGTAAAAAAGGAGTTCTTATAATTTGCAACAGCTTAGATGGAACTGGAGAGCATTATGCTAAGCAAAATAAGCCAGTTAGAGAAAGATAAATATCACATGATCTCATTTACTTATGGATTGTAAGGAACATAAACTGATTAAGAAAAGCAGATCCAGAGACAGAGAATCATAGATCAGACGGTCAAACCTCAGAGGGATGGTAGGGGAGGGTGGGGGTAAGGGAGAGAGATCAACCAAAGGACGTGTATGCATGCATATAAGCCTACCCAATGGACACAGACACCAGGGGGGTGAGGAGATGAGGGGTGGGGGGTAATGGGGGGATAAGGACACATATGTAATGCCTTAATAAAGAAATTTAAAAAATAAAAGTTCCCTCAAAAAAAAAAAAAAAAGCCGGGGGTGGGAGTGGGTACTGGAAGGAAGGCCCAAAGCTATGGCATTTCAGAGACATGAGGGAAAGCTGAATACTGGACATGGACTTGGAGTCCATTTAAAATATTACTACCCAAGAAAAGATCCAGCTTGACTTCCTCATCGTTCCCCTCCTAAACCTTAGTTACCATGCAGGGAGTTTCCGGACTTGTGTTTTAAGCTATTTTTATAGCCTTGGACTGACTGATTTTTGACTCAATGACATCAGTTCAGTGCAGCTATCTCCTGACATTGTGTTTGGCAAGATGGGGAAACAGAAAATAGCCCAGTTGTTGAGTCAGAATGTATTTGCCTTCAAAATCCCATTGTGTATAAGGTTCTTAACTGCTTAGAATTTAAATTTCCTTCTCTCCAAAATAGGTACATTATCTCCCACTCACATGACTGGTGTGAGGATTCAAGTAATTAAGCACTGAAAGGGTGTGTATGCAGAAAGCAAAGGGCTCCGTAAATGTCAGTTTCCTTTTTGTTTGATAAAAGGGAGCAGAAATGCCCTGGAAGAGGTTACTGGCCCCTGTAATAAGAGCAAATTGCATGACTTCCATTTCCTTTTCTTCCTTTCCTCAAATTATAATAGTTATTACCTATTAAAATGTATATGTGAGTCACCAGTGATAGGAACATGAATAGGGGGACTGTCCTGGCCTCAAGGAGTGTGTCTTCTTGCTGAGACACTTGACACATTGCTAGCGTACAGTGTGGAGAGTGCCCTAAGAGGTGGTGGTTTAGGAACCCAAAGAAGGGAACTATCCTGGTCTTCAGGTTTGAAGGAGAGAAGACAAAGCAAGAATTGGGCAAAGCTTCAGAGAAGCAGGGAGATTTCACTAGAACACCAAGGGGTGAGTGGAAGATAACAGATACATGGGGAAGGACGGGCTCTTCTAGTCAGAACAGACAGTGTGAACAAAGACAGTTGGCTGATTAGGAACATGTTTGAGTGAGCCTTGCAGTGGGCCGACACAGCAAGCTTGCAAGTTTTTCTTCTTTGGTGGCAATCCTTCAACTTTTAAGTCCCAGGACTTAAAATTCCATCCCTAGACTCATTTACTCTCCCCGCTTTCCATTCTTCTTTGGCCCTTTTCTTCTACTCTACTCCTTGCACTTTCCCCCTCTTGACAGGATGTGGATAGAGTTTTCCAAGTTTTGCATTTTCTTCTTGTCCAGGAAGACAAATGCATAAGCCCTTTCGTCAAAAGGATTTTACTGCTAATCTCTCTGAGGAAACAGGGTGACTAAAATAGTAAGCCTGAGGATGTCATAAGAGTCCCAGACTTCCAAGTCTTTGAAGTCATGGTCCTTGAACATTTCTCTCAGAAACTGAAAGCACATTTATTTCCAGTCCTCAGTGTGATTTTCGCCTGTGGGGCTTACCATATTCCCTGTTTCTCCTAACCCTGCACTTAAAGGCCATCTGACTCCTACTTCTGTGATACTCCTTTTTTCCAGTCCATTGTTATGAGGAACACAATAGACTAACCAGTAATTGATAAGTGCCATTATCATGAGACAATTTCTACCTTTGAGGATCTCTCATCATACAGGTTCCTTTTCCCTTTTAAATTTTCACTCTCTTAAATTATCTTCAAAATGAGTAAATAATGATGTAAAAGCTATTTCGTGCTAATTTTTATTAAAGGATACAGATTGTATATACAGAATAATGACTAGTAAGCACACATAAATATGCACAGCAACAACAAAAATGGTGGCAGATTTGTTTTCGCAGTTGCACATTGGGAAGTGCTTTGTTTTCTCAATTTCCCAGTGAGAAGAATGAGTACATATAGCGTTTAAAATGGGAAGATAAGATACTATGTATGTATTTATTCAATTAAAGTAATCCTGAGGGTTTTCTGTTTTAGGTTAAAACTATGATTGGAAAGCGTAAATTGCTGTGATGTTTGATTTTGCTCAGGATATTTACACGAGGTTATGCTTTTGGCATTTACTTAAAGGAACTATAAGAGCTTTAAAAGTTTAGTCAGAAATGACCTGATGAGGTCTTTGTTTTAGAAAAATTGATTGCTACAATACTTTTCCCTTATCTGTCTAATTTCTGTTCTTGTTACCATACTTTTTCGTTATCTAACTTTTTTAAAGGTTGGATTCCTAGATGTTGGGAAAGAGATAATTCAAGGCCCAGGTTACCAAGTTACCAAAACCAACTACAAATTGAAATAAATATAATCCATAATGTTGAAACTAAAAGCATGAGCCACAGAATGAGACAGGCCTGAATTTGAATCCCAGCTCCATGATGATTAGCTGTGTAGCCATGAACATGTTGCTTAACTTTTCTGAGCTTTGGTTTCTTGATTTGTGAGGTTAGAATAATCATAATATCTACCTCATGGAACTGTTATGATGATTAAATGAAATAACATATGAAAATATTTAACATAGAGCCTTGCACAGTATGAGAAATCAATGTATTATTTATTGCTATAATATATAGAACTCAGCTTTTTAAATCCACTTCTATTCTTTCCACACAAATCAATTGTTAAAATATTTACATCTCACTAATGGAGTATTCCACCTCCATGTGAAAACTATTTATTTATTGTTATTTTAAAATTAAATTTATTGGGATGACATCTACACTAATAAAAGAGAAACATGTAAATTGGTGTCACTCTGCTACGCCCACCAGCCAATCAGTAACTATGCAAATTAACCCAACAAAGATGGTGGTTAATTTGCATATGCAGGCACAGAGTGAATACTGAAGGCTCCAGCCAGAGCGAAGACTGAAGACTGAAGCCAAGCCTCGCTGCAGCCGCAGCGGAGAAGCCAAGCCTCGCTGCGGCTGGAGGGGAAAAGCCTAGCCTCAAGGCTTGGCTTCTCCACTGCAGCTGGACCAAAGGCCTGGGTCCCAGGTGCTGGAGGAAAACCGGTGCCGGCAGCCAGGGGAAGGGAGGCCTATTGTGTGAATCTTTGTGCAATGGGCTTCTAGTTGGTTAATAAGGTTATATAGGTTTCAAGTGTACAATTCTATGATACATCATCTTTATGTTGCATTGTGTGCCTACCACCAAAAGTTAAGTCTTCCTTTACCATATATTTGACCCCCTTTACCCTTAAAATGGGGAAATAGCATGGGAGTGGATTTCATTTTTAACTGTCTGTCTTCTACAAAAGGATAGCAACTCTCAGCATTAGTAAGTGGTAAGGAAATAAGAGCATTTGTAGGAAGAACACATATTGTTGAGACTTAGTAATAAACCCTGGTTATAATTTTAGGTTTCTAAAGTTTTAAAGAAGTAGAAAGAGGGATAAAAGGAAAAGTGAATGTTTGAGTATTACCTCTTCCTGCAACTGGAAACCATGCATCTGAAGAACTGATTCAAAGAAATCATTGTTTTTATACTTATTTGATCACCTTTAATGATATTCTTCAAATCTAAAATAGTTAATATTCTGCTGTAATGTTGACACTTCAGTATAAAATTACAGAAGAGAAAAAACAATATGTAGAAGGATAAAATTACCTATATTTTTTTAATGAGAAGAGTTTAGAAATAGTGTATTTAGAAGTAAATTAAGAAAAAAACCTATGTCATAGAAGTTGTGTTGTGTAGGTTTGCTAGTTTCGTTTTCATTAACAGTAGGTAAAATAGTACAACTTTGAGGAAATAGGTTTTAGTAAAAATAAAAATTCTGGTTTGTTTTACCTCCATATAAAAACTTCTTCCCCCTCCCCCACCCCCTCCCTCTCCTGCTCTTCTTCCTCGTCCTCTGAAATGAGCTCGTCAGAGAAAGACAAGTGCCATATGATTTCACTCATATGTGGAATCTAATGAACAGAATAAACTAACAAGCAAAAGAAAGAGAGAGATTCATAGATAGAGAGCAGGCTGACAACTGTCTGGGGCTGCATGGGTGGTAGTGGGGAGATTAAGAAAAGAGAAAAAAATCTCTTTTTAATCTTTTCTGTGTAATTACAGGGTGTAGGAAAAAACAAGATTGTTGACAGATTCCTTCATCTGCTCAATAGACCCCGAGAATATATCCAGCTGCACAGGTAAGAGGAAAAGCCCCATACCTCTTAAGATCTGATTTAATCATTTAATTTTCCTCAGTACAACTTAAAAATACTTTTTTAAAGTCCAAATGTACTAGTATAAACCAGTTTCATTTCTGTTCCTCCTGCTATTATCTCTCCTTTCCTTAAAAGGTAATAAAACCAGGCAAAATTTATTTTTAAAGTGACTAATACTTTGTAAACATGAATTAATAGATATTTTGTGGACAGAGAGTAATGAACTTTATATTCTAGGAGCAGATTTCATCAACATAAAGGCTCTTAAATTAGAAGAAAAATATGTAGAGGCAAATCCCACTCTGACAGGAAGCTAAATTAGCCCCCAAGGGAAACAATAAACTATGAATCCCAGGTATGAGATAAGGAACCAAAAAATACGGAAGAAATAAGTTAGTTTCTTTGCCTTCCTTGAAAACACTTTTTACCTAAATTTGTAAAAATTTAGGGATAGTTTTTAATCAAATAGATTTTCTAGACGTGAATTGTTTTTAGATTTATCAGTTAACCTATTCCAAATCTTTTAAAAATTAAATATAAGCACGTCAATAGAGGGAACTGAGGAGGGAGGGAGAGAGAGAAATTAAGGAATATACCAAGTAATAAGCAACTTAAAACTAGATTAAATTGTTATTGTTTTAAGCCCAGGAGATAAAAAACAAAACAAAAAACATTGTGTAGTGGAAAAAACATTGGATTGAATTATAAGAATTGTTTTCTTGTTTGGGTCCTTTCACTAAATAATTATGTGTTCTTAAAAGATAATTGTAGAAGAAAAGAAGGCAGAGTTAGTGGGCCAAAAGAGAAGAGAACCAAAGTAAAACAGAAGAATGGTCAAAACCTCCTTCTTGGGATTTGAAGGAGTAACTGGCACCAGACTAGTCCCACCACAGTAAGGTTCACAGGCACTGGGAAAAGAATAACCACCAGAGATAGCTGTGCACTGAACAACCACTAGAACTCCCGCATGGTCAGGGACTTAAGTAAATACTCCTGGTATTCACATTAAAAGCTACTCTACAGACACCCTTACAGAGTTTAAAAGTAAGCCTTAAATTAATAAGGATGCTTTCTATTTAACATTATTTAGAAGTTTTTCTCATATAAAATGATTTTTGTGTGAATTTTTCTCATACAAAATTAACTGCTTAGCTGAACAGATTTAACCTTGAGTGGAGAAAGACTATAAAATCCAGATATTCAACAACATAGTATTCATAATGTTAATCATTCAATGGAAAATTGCTAGATATACAAAGAAGCAAGAAAATTGTTTAATAGAAATAGACCCTAAAGTGGTAGATAATGAAATTAACAGACAAGGACTATAATATAATGCCATGAATATGTTTAAGCATTTAGACTGTAAATTTCTTCAACCTGATAAGAGACATCTATGAAAAACCTATGACTAACTTATAGTTAACGGTGAAAAACTAAATGCTTTCCTCCTATGATTCTGGTAAAGGCAAGGATAGTCAGCATTATGCTGAAGATCCTAGCCAGTGCAATAAGGCAAGAAAAAGTAATAAATGGCATACATGCTCAAGTAGAAGAAGTAAAACTGGCTCTTTTTAGAGATGACATGATTGTGTGTATAGAAAATACTAAGAAATCTACACACACACACAAAATCAACTAGTATGTGAATTGAATAGGGTCACAGAATACAAGGTGAATGTAAAAAAAATCAAATGAACAATAGGGAAATAAAATTATAAAAGTACTATTTACAATAGCATTAAAACATGAGATACTTAGGAATAAATTTATCAGCATATGTGCAAATTTTAATTTGCTAATTTTAATAGGGGAAAATTATCTCAACTTTTAAACTTCTGTAAGTCACCTGTATAGTTTCAGAAAATTTCTAGCCTATTCCCATACTTCTCATGGTTCTTTTTTGTATTAGTGATGCCTTATATAAACCTAGGAGTTTTGACTCACTTTTATAAGTAAAAAAAGAATATACTATATCAAAATGGCTAGATGTTATAGGAGATATAGAATGGATTAAGAAATGAAATCTCGCCAAAACCGGTTTGGCTCAGTGGATGGAGCGTCGGCCTGCGGACTGAGAGGTCCCCGGTTCGGTTCCGGTCAAGGGCATGTACCTGGGTTGCGGGCACAGGATGTGCAGGAGGCAGCTGATCGATGTTTCTCTCTCATCGATGTTTCTAGCTCTCTCTGTCTCTCTCCCTTCTTCTCTGTGAAGAATCAATAAAATATATTTTTTAAAAAAAAAGAAAAGAAATGAAATCTCTATATTTAAGGAGCTGTAATACTGTTCTTGTTTGTAATTATTTCAATTTTTCATGTTCACTGAATATGAAAAACTTCTTATTTTTTTCCCTTACCTTTTAAGCATTTCCACCAGTTTTTTTGTTTTTTGTTTTTTTAAGTTTGGGAAAAATAATGAAAGAATCAAAGCATTTAACTAGTTTGCTAGTTCTCACCTTAATAACTTTTTATAACATATCACTGTTTTAGTTTTTGAGCCATGGCAAGACCCCTATTTTACAGTTTAAGGATGATTCAATGAACATTGCAATTTTTCATTCTTAGGAGAATTTGTGCTGCTTTATTTTGTTTACATTGTGTTTAGTTTTCACTGTTTAACAGTGCCCTTAAAATATGTAACTGTCTGAAAGTTTTAATGAATGTATATACTGCTGCCACTTAAGCATATGATGTCAATTTAGAGCAAAACCAAATAATTTAAATTTTATATTTTAAAATAGTTAAGCAGAAGGCCAACTTTTTCTTAAGAATGACTTCAGAACTTGAAATCAGTTCTCAAGTTTATTCCCCAGAAAGAAGTCACTTTTTATGAGAGTCTCTTTTTATAGTGGGATAGTTTCTCCATTTCTTTATATTGGACAAAATATTTTTTAAGAAAGGTATATTAGGCTCAGCTACCTCAGTCAGTTCTGATTATAGATTATGGAAGTTACTTAATCAGCAAAAAAGGAGGTAAAGAAATATAACTGATATTTAATAATTATTCTTGGGTGTATGTCACACTCATTGTAAACAGGTCTTTTGCTTATGATTTAATTTCTTTAATAGCTATAAGAAGTTTTGATGCATCTTATTTTTGTAGGACTTATTCCTTCTAATTATTGGTATAAAGTTGTTAATAATATCATCTTGTGATTTAAAAAAAAATATTTTTTTATTGATTTCAGAGAGGAAGGGAGAGGGCGAGAGAATCATTGGTTGGCAGCCTCCTGCACGCCCCCCTTACTGGGGATAGAGCCCACAACCTGAGCATATGCCCTGACCGGGAATCGAACCACGACCTCCTGGTTCATAGGTCGATACTTAACCACTGAGCCACACCGGCCAGGCATCTTGTGATATTTTAATGTCCCTGGCTCAGTCAATGATATCTTTATTTTTATTCTTGGTATTGGTTATTTGCCTTCTCTCTTTTCTTCATGATCAATTTTGCCAATCCTATTGGTGTGTTCAAGCAACCAATTTTTGTCATAGTTGAATCTCTCTTTTGTATTTTTCTTTTCTCTTTCAATATTTCTGATTTTATCTTTATTGTATCCTTCCTGTTGTTTTCTTGGGTTTAGTGTGTCCTTTTTAAACTTTTTAAGATGTATGCTTAAATCATTGATTTTCAACCTTTAATCTATATATGTGTTTGAGGCTATCTATTTTTGAATCTCTCTTTGGGTTTTAGTGTTTTCATAAACTTCTCTTTGAGTCTCAGTGTTTGCATCTCTTGAGAGGAATAGACAGCATTTCTAATATCTCTCTTATTTCTATACTAGAGGCCCAGTGCACAAAAATTTGTGCACTCGGGGGGGGGGGGGTCCCTCAGCCTGGCCTGTGCCCTCTCGCAGTCTGGGACCCCTCGGGGGATGACCATCTGCTGGCTTAGGCCCGCTCCCTGGGGGATTGGGGCTAAGCTGGGAGTCAGACATCCCTCTGGCAGCCTGGGAGCCCTCGTGGGATGTCCACTTGCCAGCGGGGAGGAGGCCTAAGCTGCAGTCGGACATCCTTAGTGCTGCTGAGGAGGAGGGAGAGGCTCCCACCGCCACCGCTGTACTGGCACCCATCAGCCTGGCTTGTGGCTGAGCAGAGCTCCTCCTGTGGGAGCGCACTGACCACCAGGGGGCAGCTCCTGCATTGAGCGTTTGCTCCCTGGTGGTCAGTGCGTGTCATAGTGACCAGTCATCCCCAATTGTTCTGCTGTTAGGGTCAATTTGCATTTTACACTTTTATTATATAGAATAGAGGCCTGGTGCATGGGTGGGAGCCAGCTGGTTTGCCCTGAAGGGTGTCCCGGATCAGGGTGGGGGTCCCACTGGGGAGCCTGGCCAGCCTGGGTGAGGGGCTGAGGGCCATTTTCAGGCTGTCCACACCCCCTTCAGGGAGGGAGGTCCTGCTGGGGTGCCTGGCCAGTTTGGGTGAGGGGCTGATGGCTGTTTGCAGGTTGGCCACATCCCCTTCAAGATGGGGGTCCCTGCTGGGGTGCCTGGCCAGCCTGGGTGAGGGGCTGATGGCTGTTTGCAGGCTGGCCAAGCCCCTGAGCCGGGACCCTCACCCCATGACGTTGTGGCCAGCCTGGGTGAGTGGCTGATGGCTGTTTGCAGGCTGGCCACGGCCCCCAGCCACCCAAGCTCTCAGTGGAGGCTGGTTGGAAGCAGTATCTGGGATTTATTTATCTTCTATAATTGAAACTTTGTTGCCTTGAGCGGAGGCCACAGCCGGCCAGGGCAGGTGGGAAGCTTGGCTTCCTCCATTGCCGGGGCAACCAAGCCTCCTGCTTGCTCCAGCTCCGTGGCTGCCCGCCGCCATCTTGGTTGGGTTAATTTGCGTATAGTCGCTCTGATTGGCTGGTGGGTGTGGCTTGGGCATAGCAGAGGTGCGGTCAATTTGCATGTTTCTCTTTTATTAGATTAGATTCTGATATCTTTGAATAGGCAAGAAGAAGGTGGTGTTAAAGTGTTTTAAAAAGTTTAGAT